TTATTTTTCACACTGGCTATCACCCGCGACATCGTCCGCGCTTTATGAAAATTTCTTTTTTACATAAGTGTTCTTACAAACTGTTTTCTATGACGAGAGAAGAAGAGACAAATATCCATCCATTCAAACTTTCGCATTTATAATATCCATAAGAAGTAAGATTTAACTTAGAGCGTCGGTGGCTTAGGGGTTAAAGCACTTGACTTGTAATCTGCAGATCCTGGGTTCGAATCCCATCATCTAGCAATGTGTTTTTCGAATTACATATGTACATTTAACCGACGTTCTTACGGTGAAGGAAAACATCGTGATGCTGCACATATCTGAGAAGAAATTTAAGATTTGTGTGAAGTCAACCAAACCCGCACTTGGCCAGCGTGGTTGACTATGGCCTAATCATCCTTAACTAAGGATAGGCTCTGATCCCCTCAGTGGGGATGAAGATGTAACTGGCTGATAATGTCATTTATTGCCTATAGAATTATTTCGTATAGTTTCAGTATTAATATGATGATAGAAACATGTCTGTATTCAGTCTATGATTACCTTATAAAAGTAATATGATTTACCTAAGATTCTAATTAGCATTGATGCTAGAGCTAGAGATTGGTGTGGATTTAATATTTTTGTCCAGTAGAGGGCGTGCGCGTCTGGTAGTGCTTTTATTTTCGTATTGCATTGCGATGACCTGATAATAAAAATAGGAAGGAAGAAGGGATACGTATAGGAATGGGAGATAGTCAACTCTTTTGTTCATTAAAGGGCGATGCATCTTTCAACTTCATATGAGATTTGGCCGCTTGCTCGTTTGTCAACTTTTAAGATTTTTTTTTCTTCCAATTTAATTTTCTCTACTGTGAAATATAATACTAAATAAAGCCAGTGTTTTGACGACAGCACTTAGCGAGGCGTTAAGTTACAGATTGTTTAACGTCTTAAGTAATTATTATATACATCTGACTCGAAGTTTGATATCTATGTAAAAGAGATCTGTTAAAATATATTCTTCCTCGTATTCTTGTCTTGATATGTTTTAACGGCTGTGTCGATCAGCTGCCTCCACGCCGTCCTGTCTTCGGCTTGTCTCAGGGCAGTCGTGATATTGAGTCCCAATATAGCCTGCACTTGATCTTAAAATATATAGCGCTTGATAAATTAAATACATGGTTTTGTGACTTTTTAATATTGTAACTCTTATACGAAAGTATATTGTCATCCCTTTCAGATATCTTCCTTCACTTTTCCGTAGTTTCGGTAGAGTATGTTCCCTTCCATACTTTATTAATTGAAAAAAATGTGACATAGTTACGGCAGAGATCCACTTTTATGCGATCGTATTTTGTATAATTTGTTAATTCTGTAAAGCCGCGTAGCTTTGTTCTTGTTAATTAAATTATTTTGTTACAAAAATGTATATTTTTTTCGTTTTTTTTTTAATTACTTTTAACCTGAACATGTTTTGGTTAAAAGTTTTATTGTTTGCAGCGTGACTGGAGTGGTACGCTTTTTATTAGCTTATTTTAAATCCCTGTTTAAAATACATCGTCAACACTCTGGCATCTTTGACATAACTAAGATGCCAATGGGTTTAAAAGGATTTCAGTCTCAGAAACCAATTTAAATTAAGAAACTGAATCGTCGTGAAACTGACGTCACGTACGTCAGTGACAGCGGTTAACTGTGAACTTGTTTACGTTAAAAAAAAATAGTAAACAAGTATTTTTCATTGTAAATTATACAGAGAGTTGAAGTACAGTGTGATTTCGGCAGATGTTATTGTTATCCAAACACAATTCGCTAATTTAACCACAAAAGTGTTTGTTATATGTGCGGGAACGTTTCTTAGTCTACCTTACCTCTGCGATATAATTTTAATCTCCGATTAAGTGAAATTCGACTTTGTAATATTCTTCTTGAAGCATTAACAGTGGTTAAAGGATAAAAGTGTTTGCCTAAACTTTTAACGAAATAAGATTTTATTCTGTATTTATAAACTATACAGTGGCGCCATCTCTTATCTGCAATGCCGAAGTGCCGTGCGTGTGGCAAATATACGGCCAATGCCGACTGCATACGATGTACCAAGTGTACAAATGTGTACCACCGCGGCTGCAGTGGTCTGCCTGCCGGCCAGCCCCCCCTAGGATTTTCTTGCCAGGGCTGCAAGGCTAAGCCAGCGGACAATGTATCAGCAGAAAGCTCCAGCCCCGGTGATGAGGCAATGGCCTCCGTAAAGGGTACGGCTGATCAAACCCGTATGCTCCTCGAACTCATTCATGAGGTAAAGGGTCTTAGAAGCGATCTAAATGATACAATATATGAGATAAAGCAGTTCAAGGCGGATCTACAAGCGTGCAGTAGTCGGTTAACTGCAGTCGAAGAAAAGGTTCTCAAGGTTGAAAAACAACTTGATGTAAAAACATTTGCCAACGAGCAGCTCGAGAATACGGTAGCCGACCTGAAGATGCAATCGAATGAACGAGACCAAGAGTTGTTGCAAAATGATGTCGAAATAGCCGGGCTGCCGGAAGAGAGAAGCGAGAACGCTCTCCATCTCGCCAGCATTGTGGCCGTAAAGCTGGGCCTGACACTGGAGGAGCGCGACATCGTCCACGCAGAGCGGCGGGGCGCGGTGCGGCGCAACCGAAGCGACGGCGCGCCACAGCAACCGCGACCGCTGGTCGTACGGCTGGCACGTCGCGCTCAGCGTGACGCCATGCTGCGAGCCGCACGTATCCGCCGGGGCCTCTCCACGGCCGACATGAGCTTGGCTGGAGCGCCGAGTAAAGTTTACATCAACGAACGCCTCACGCGCACCAACCGGCAACTGTTTGGTAAGACGCGGGAAGCTGCTTCCCGTGCGCAATGGAAGTACGTGTGGACAAAAGGTGGTCAGGTATTTACAAGAAAGGACGACGGTAAGATTGTAGAACGAATTCGTACGGAAGGAGATATAAATAAAATTTTTGTCTAATTATTAGTTTGGCTACACGCAACGCTATAATAAAGCAACCTAGGTACATTTTATTGTCAGGCCTCTACTACACTTTATTAAAAACTATAACTTTATTAAACTTAATATGCAGACACTTAGATTACATGAGGCTCACAATAGTTTTATTTTTTATTACCTACTATTCAAATTGTATTTTCAATTACCATTTATTACGATGTTATAGTTTGCGTGCCTCCGATTCAATCAAAATTAATTGTTACTCCTTCCTTGCTTCATTGTTTATTATGTACACATCTGTCTTTCATTTTACAAATGTCTTATATTGTATTTTATCTTTATTCCACACCTATTTACTACGGTGCAACAACATAACAGTAGTATTAAACTGCCTACGCTCCGACCATCCATTTTTATTTATCTGTTGGTCGTTGTTTGTTTATTTTTTTATTAATGTAATTATGTTTTTTAAGTTCTCAAGGTCTTATATCTTTTATTGTTGTGTTGCAGTGAAATATTATCCTAGAAACCACACTGTTAATCCATTTAACCCTTGTGCAGACGATTCGCTTAAGATCATTTTTTATTGTTGTCTTTCGTTTAATTTGTATTTTACTAATGTTATTTTTATTTTGATCTTACTCGTATGGTATAGCTCATGTTTTTGTTGCAATGCTAACCGATGGGGTTTTTGTTATATTTTCGTTACTTGTCTGAAGTATTATCTCTGTAAGAACTTATATAAATATTCCAGTAACCGGATAAGATTGTTATTATATTACACTATTTCAATTAAAAACATAATCGAAATTTTATTGAAATTATTTTTAAGTACAGCTTTGTTGATTTTCTCATCTAACTCTTATCATTTTAAATTTATTTTGAGGCAATACAAGCCGGCCCGAAAGCATTTTTAAAACTCGGTTTCCTCAACGTCGGCTCGCTGAACACCTATTGTGAAGACTTTGTCGCGGTTGTGGAGCGTCATGCCATAGATATAATGGCGGTGGGCGAGACATGGCTACGTGCGGGCGAGGAGGGCAGCGCTCCACGCCCCGCCGGCTACCGGCTGCTGCACGCGGCGCGCCCGCGCACTGTGCGCGGCGGCCGGGGCGGGGGTGTCGGCTTTTACATAAAGCGAGGTATCAATGCCCGCGTGTTTGCTCACCCCGTCGAACCATCACTCATTTTCGTCGAACAATTGTGGCTAACACTTAAGATGGACAACAAGATGCTCGCTATCGGCACCGCGTACCGCCCACCATGGCTTGACGTCGATTCCTTTTTTGATGCGGTCACTATATCTGTAAACTCATTAGCGTTTTGCGACAATGTCATTTTACTAGGGGATTTTAACATCGATTTGCTCCGCAATAACGATACGAAAGTTAAAAAGTTCATAACCTTTTTAGATTGCTTGGACTTAATGCAATTGGTTGCGTCGCCGACACACTTTACAGATCATAGCCAAACCTTACTAGATGTAATATGTACTAATGTGAAAATGCGGCATATTGAGATAGAACCGGTTGCCCCCTTGAGCAATCATGCCCTGCTAACCTGCGAATTACATAGCGAAAAATTTAAAACACGCGCGAAAAAAGTTAATTACAGACCTCTAAAAGACATACCGTTGGAAGTTTTTGATTTATCTTTAGATTCTATTAATTGGGAAGAAATAGTTTTTACACCGGATGTGGATCATAAGTTATGTCTTTTTAATTATCACATCACGTCTGTTTTTGATGCATTTGCCCCAACGAAATCTTGTATATTAAAAGAACGTAATCAGCCTTGGATAACCGATACAATTAAAATTATGATGAAAATTCGCAATGCAGCTCATAAACGTTACTTGAAAACAAAGTTAGAAAGTCATAAAACATATTATAAAAATTTAAAAACCTTAGTTACCCACTCCATTCATAAAGAAAAAACGGCATATTTTAATCATAACGTAAACAATAATATTAAAAGACCTAAATTATTATGGCAGAATTTAAAGTTGACTGTGCTACCTCCGAAGCAAGATACTTATTTACCCTCCCATCTGACAGATCCTGATAAAATTAACAATCATTTTTTAAAACTGCCTGGGAACCCCTGTATCGATCAATCGTACATGAACTATTTCGAAGAACACCGCTACACTATTGGTACATCTTTCTCTCTTCAACCTGTTAATGAGCTGATGATTTCCAAAATTATTACTAACCTTAAGTCAAATGCACTTGGTATTGACGGTGTTTCACTTAAAATGTTGCTTATGACACTGCCACATTCTCTTAATGCAATAGTTTCCATCGTTAACGGCTCAATAACAACATCCACCTTTCCCAAACTCTGGAAGACTGCCCTAATTAGACCTTTACCCAAAAAACCCAACCCGGAAGAATTTAAAGATCTTCGTCCAATTAGCGTACTGCCATGTATGTCAAAAATTTTAGAAAAAGTTGTTTGGATTCAATTAGCAGAGTATTTAGAAACTAACAATATACTACCTGAATTCCAATCTGGGTTTAGGAAAGGCTATAGTACAACCACGGCTCTATTAGATGTTAGTGACAACATTATCGCTGCTCAGGACAACGGAATGTGCACAATCTTGGTGCTTCTAGATTTTTCGAGGGCCTTTGACTGTATAGATTTATCTCTGCTTCTATCTAAAATGGTCTATTATGGATTCGAATCTGACACGGTTAGTTGGTTTCGAAGCTTCCTCACTGGCCGTGGACAATGCGTAGAAATAGTGCAGGAAGACGGTCGGATGCGGCGTTCTGCTTATTGTACCCTGAAAAGAGGTGCTCCACAGGGAACTATCCTCTCTCCTCTTCTTTTCGTTTTATATACAACGGATATAATTGGCTGCATACAAAATTGTAAATATCACTTATACGCCGACGATCTACAAGTTTATATTTCATTTAAAGCTAGCGAATGGGCCTGTGCCGTGCGATCACTTAACGAAGACCTTGACAGAATACAAAGGTGGTCCCAAAACAACTGTCTAGTCCTTAATCCCGCTAAGACTAAATATATCGTTTTTGGATCTAAATATCAGCTAAATAGTGTACCGTTAGACTGTCAGGTTAAGTTAGGGTCCGAGAGCGTCGAGCGTGTTTACGAAGCCAGGAGTTTAGGAGTAGACCTCGATCCAAACCTGCGTTACGAAAATTATATCTCAGGAGTCGTTAGAAGCTGTTTCTATAGATTAAAAGTCTTATACAAAGTTCGGCAATACCTCAATGAACGACTTCGCATCCAACTAGTTGAATCCCTGGTACTATCGAAACTGAATTACGGTGATACAGTGTACGGCCCTTCTTTATACACTAAGACAGGAAACTTAATTCAGAGGGTACAAAATGCATGCGCCCGGTTTTGTTTTTCTATACCGCCGAGAGGTCACGTTACGCCGTTTCTAAATGAGCATAATATTCTAAAAATCGAATATCGTAGGAAACTACACTTGGCGTGTTTGCTTTTTCAAGTCATAAAATCGCAGGCCCCGAAATATCTCTTTTCTAAATTAAAATGGTCGAAAGGTAGATGCGCTGAGCGAAAGCAGCGGTTCCTGCAACTTAGCACGCAGCGGCACAAATCTACTGCATTCAGGGGAAGTTTCCGTTACGCTGCTACTCGGTGCTGGAACAACATTCCCCCGCCAGTCAAAAGTGCGCAAACAAAATTAACTTTTAAAAATAGATTGAAATGCTTTCTTATGGAGGCTCAAAAAGGTAAATAACTATAACTTATTAATTTAAATACGGATAACTAAATTACCATCTTTGAACATCCATTGGAAGTATCTTTCCCTTACTTTTTAACTTTTTTTTTTCTTCCACCTTTTTTATTTTTCTTTTTTGTTTTTTTTTTTAATTATTACATTACATATTATTATTCTTATTCTCCTCAGCAGTATTGGAAAAATGTACTATGTTAATTGTCGGTTGTTATATCAAATTTACTCTTGAAACATTGGCCCACTTTTCAAACTGAGAATGGAATATTTAGTAGTAGGTAATACTTCATTTATGTTATTAATTGCTGTAACTGACGTACTGAGGGTAAAGGCTTTTGCAGAATATCAGTGTTTTTGCCCCCAGGGGTAATAAACATACAGCTGAGCAAAGGCCCTATCTGTTCTGCATTGCAACGCTTAATTGTAATTTTTTTGATTTTTTCTTTTTTCTCTTTTTGGTTGTGTTATAAGTGTTGTAATGTTTTTGAACGGATTAAATGTCTTATTATTATTATTATTATTATTATTAAACGCCATTCATTAACGCCTGAACCTACAAAACTAGACGTGCATTACCAACATGACCAACGTGCATTACCAACCGTTGACGAAAAAATACGTTTAGAACATTAAGTTAGCACCGCTGTAAAATAGACAGGATCATTTTAACTCTATTGCTAGAAAGTTACAAAGTTAATAGAAAAATCTCCACATATCTACACTTAAAAATGTTTAAAACTAACATAGTCAGTCGAAACAGGGACTAATGCTAGTTAATTAATCTATTTTCTGATCGGACATTGATGGAGCGTTGTAAGTCTTGTAGAGTTCAGAATTTGTTAGTTCTATAGAACTTAGCAGGTTGTTAAGCTCTGAACTGCAAGTTTACAACTCTGCGAATACAAAGTTCTAAGTTAAGTAAAGGAGCTTAATCACGTAACATACATTTAGCCAACAGACATTTGAGTAAGAAAACTCATATGTTTATAAGTCAATCACGTAAAAAGATACTAAAAGATTTTCTGATATTAAATTCAACGCAGAATGAACTAAAGTTTGTTAAAGGGTAATAATCAAAGGCACAGGACCGGTGTTGACCTATGGGGAAGCCTATGCCCAGCAGTCGGCTTCTCATGGCTGAACAAGCAAGCAAGCAAAAGGTATTAATACATTTTTTAGACCAACATTTAAAAGATAATTGAAAGGTGATGAGGTAAAGACTAAAGGCATAAATAGTAAAGAAAACAAAGCTGGAATATTTAGGCAAAATATGAACTGCTGCAGCTCTTAGTTCAAGGGAAAGTTCATGGAAGACGAAGTGTGAAATCCAGGACATCCGAGCTAAAAAAAAACCTTCCCCATCTTTATAAAAAGCACCCGTTCGTAAAGCCGCAGTTTAGAAATAGCATATTGCATTGACGCGAGAAGATGGCACTTTAAGAAGAAGAAAGAACATTAAAAACTTGTTACAATCAATCACTTTGTAGACGACTAATTGGATAAACTGTAAATAAATAACATTGGCTTGTTTAAACTGACATCAGTGTATTAATAACAATAATTAATTTGTAATTATTATTGTTTTCATTGGATTCATTAAATATAAACAATAACTTATTAATCTTACTAATATTATAAATGCGAATATTTAAATGGATGGATGTTTGTTAGAAGATATCTCCGGAACAACATAACGAATCTTGATGAAATTTTGCATAGATGTAGAACATAGTCTGGAGAAATACATAGGTTACTTATCAAGTTTTTAATTCCACACGAATGGAGTCGCAGGCGACAGCTAGTATGTTGTAATAATAGCAACACAGAGACAAGTTGTTATCTTTTGTAAAATTGTTTACTTTGAGACCCTCGAAAGTCGCGAAAAGGAAATAAAAATATAAGTTGACGTCGTTTTGTAGGGAATTGGCACTTAGCGTTTAACAAGCTGGAGAGATAGGACTCTAATTGGATAACAGAGACGCTCGTTACTGCTTCCATTTCAAAAGACGAAACAATTATTTTTACGTTATAAAAGAAATGTCCAGTTTATTT